GATAAATGTTGATAAGACGCTCGAGGGACGCGTCAGTACCTGCAAGAAGTGGTAGAGGGGGGGGGGCATTTCATCGCGGACCGATGAGTACACGCCGCCGTGTCGCGCGCTGTGATTTTGGAGCTGCTCTGCCAGCCTTGTCGTTGAAGAAAACCACTTCCTGTAGTTCACAGCTCTACACATAGGATCCCACAACCCGCCTCCAATCGTCTTTATCGTCAATATCATCAACATCAATAATATCTTTATCTTATGAGGCGGAGGTGGTGTGGTAGCGCGCTTGCCACCCACGCGGTCCTAGGTTCAAATCCTGTACCCAAGCGTCCCATCCCACGGGAACGGCAAACTGGTACCATATTCGTCTGGAGAGCATAAGAACACTGACTTGCGCGTCGCCCCCCCCCGCAAGTTATTGTATAGGCCTCATCGCATTCAATTAGCCGCTACTATCCTGGATCCGAATTAGCCGCTACAGTCCGCTACAATACGTGTCGCATCCCACAAGGGGATAGGTCAATGACGAAGCCTTTATATTTTATCAACCTTATGAAGCGAGTTCCCTTGTAGAACCTAATGGTGTTTCTTACCCAATTTCCGCCTCACTGGGAATTCCTCAATGACTCTTAATCCCTTTTACGGGTTGGTCTAGGGGTAGTTTTCCGAAAGTATGCAGCTGAGTCGCAGAAATGATAAACTGTATTAGGTTGTCCGGAAAGTTCTCAGCGTTTTGTGTTACTATTTTTTGTACATTCATTGCTGATTAAAAACTCATTCTCCCTTGCGTCTCAGTAGTACATCCTGAAGAGAATTTTTGCGCTATCTGATGGTATAATTGCCGTTTCACCATTGCTTGATAAACCCCCTTTTCCCAAGACTTTTTGAAGCATGTCAAAAGAGCAACTTCGGACGATATTTTTCTTCAACTACAAATTGGGTCAATCCGCAGTCGAGACAGCTCGACAAATTAACCAGGTGTGGGGGCCCAGTAGTGTTGGAGAAAGCACCGTGCGACAATGGTTCGACAAATTTCGTTCTGGAGATTTCAGCCTTGAAGATGAACCTCGTAGCGGTCGACCTAAAGCAATACCTGACGAGGATTTGAAGGCGTTTGTGGAGGCTGACCCATCCCAAACAGTTCGAGAGATTGCAGAAAAGCTAGGCGTTGGCAAATCCACTGTTGCAGATGGTCTCGCATTGGGAAGGTGAAAAAACTCGACAATTGGGTGCCCCACAATCGGAGTGACCGGCAGGAATCGGCACGTCTCGAGGTTCCTTCTGCATTGCTTTTGCGCAGCAGAAACGACCTGTTTTTGGGCCGAATTGTCACCTGTGATGAAAAATGGGATCATGTATGATAACAGGAGACGTTCCGGACAGTGGTTGGATGCCGACGAACCACCGAGGCAATTTCCAAAGCCGAATCCTCACGAAAAAAAGATTATGGTCACAGTGTGGTGGTCATCGGCTGGTGTGATCCACTATAACTTTTTGTCACCAGGCCAAACCATCACAGCAGAGTCCTACTGTGAAGAAATCGACGAAATGTACCGAAAATTGCGTCAGCTGCAGCCAGCACTTGTCAACAGAAAGGTCCGATTCTTTTGCATGACAACGCCCGCCCACACGTTTCACAAATCACTATCCATAAATTGAAACGATTGGGGGTTGGAGTTCTACTACTTCCGCCATATTCTCCAGACCTTTAACCAGGCGACTATCGCCTTTTCACACATTTTCAGAAATTCCTTGCTGAAAAATACTTCATCAATTAAGGACGGCAAGAAGAACAAAAAAAGCCTTTCGTGGATTTCGTGAAGATTCCCGACCACCCAGTTTTTTACTTTGATGGGATTTCTCGACTGCTGTCACATTGGCAAAAGCGTGCTGATTCGAATGGTGCCCATTTCGATTAAATCCGATGAGTATTAAAAAAGTTGACAGATCGATGTCAAAGTGAACACTCAAAACGCTGAGAGCTTTCCGGCCAACCTATAATCCTTTTTAATTTTTTTTCAATAATTCTACGTATAAAAACATTGCGCAAGGTGAAATATGATGAGCAGACCAAAGCTCTCACCCTTGGAGCGCAACCTTACATCTTTCTATGCGCCAACTACACAAAGACTCAACAGCTAGCAATGGAAGATAGCCGACATCGCTTGCTCGCTAGCGCGGTGACCCAGCCGAGCGTCACGATTGAATCGCCACACTTCCGAATTCGTGCAACAAAGTTACATTCAAGGTAGCATTTTGTGTACACCTTTGGCCTCCCTTACAAAAGAAACCTGTAGGTGGCCGTTTATTCGGCTCAATCACCTTGAGTGAAACTGAAATGTTCAACTGATTAGCCGGCACGTCGAAAGGTTTTCTCCGTCACACGAACCCTTAGACGACGAAAAACTGAATCGGTATTGATGCGAGGTTATACGTTAATTGACGCGACTATAAATGGTTTGACAACCCATCAATCATCAGCGACACCTGACATGGAGCTTGAGTACCAGCATCGATGCAAGGCCTACCGCTTTGTATCCTATTCGGCTGTTGCCTTCTCGGTAGTTGCCATTATTGGTGCCGCCACCACCCTGCCCATGGTGTACAACTATGTACACCATGTACGCCGCACGATGCACTCGGAACTCAACTACTGTCGCGTAAGTTGCAGTTGCTTGAGCTTTTTCAGAGAACTTCTTTTTTTATACCTTCTATTTTACACAGTGTTTGCGATTTAATGATGATGATTTTTCAGACGTCGGCCCGTGATATCTGGTCTGAAGTCAACACCATGAAGACCAACTGGCAATCGTACCTGCCCGTCAGGCTGGATACGATTCTGGCGATAGTGGTGTGATAGGAGGTGGCAACACTGGAAACACCGGCGGCGGTAACACCGGCGGAAACGACTGTACCGCTTGCTGCTCTGGTGGAGGTGCCGGTCCAGCTGGACAGCCAGGAAACCCTGGACGACCAGGAAACCCCGGAGCTCCTGGAGCCCCAGGAAACCCAGGAAGACAAACTACTCAACCATGCCCCGTGTACACACCTGCTCCATGCAACCCTTGCCCAGCTGGACCACCTGGACCACCAGGAGCCCCTGGACAGCCCGGAGATCCTGGACGCGACGGAAACCCAGGAGGACCCGGAAACCCAGGAGGACCAGGAACACCCGGACCAAAGGGACCACCAGGACAAAGCGGAAACCCTGGAAGCCCAGGATCCTCCAGGACAGCCTGGACAGCCCGCCAATTCCATTCCAGCCACCCCCGGAGCCCCTGGACCTGCTGGACCTCCCGGACCTGCAGGACCACCTGGACCCAACGGACAGCCCGGAAATCCAGGAGCACCAGGTATATTTCAAATTATTCGCCGAATTCTGCTCACCTCGTCAATTCATTGAGTATTTCAGGAAACCCTGGACCACAAGGGCCACCTGGAAGCAATGGTCAGCCTGGTGCACCAGGAAACCCAGGAACACCCGGAGACAGAGGCACCCCAGGAACACCTGGAGAACGGGGTATTTGTCCCAAGTACTGCGCACTCGATGGTGGTGTCTTCTTCGAGGATGGAACTCGTCGATAAAAATCAGATGTCATTAGGACATAAAATGTCATTAAAGCTCTTCTTTGGCAATGCGAACACACAATTTGAACACAGAAGTGAATCGTCAGCGACTACCTTTCTCACGCAGTAAACGCGTTTTGCTCCCTCAGCGAGCTCGCAGATAACGTGGTGTACAACCACTCTGCCAAACATCAAGGGAAGGAGGGCAAAATGTCAAACAAGGAAAACTCATACAACTCCCAACGTGTAGCTGTGGCAGTGGAAACAGTAAAGAACGTCGCTTGATAAAGACAGCGTGCGCAGGCACCTCACCAGCGGAAACCGTTCGTTGCACAAGGGCGCACAGTTCACAACACACAAGCATGAGCCACTTTCGCGACTCGAATCCTGGTGAAAAGCGCCAGGGCTTCGCAACGCCAGGACGATAAACTAGTTCCTCATTCATGAGGCCGCATTCCATACCTTCTGACAGCAAGGAACTGACGAACTGAAGAAAAGCAAAACTGAAGAATTGACGAAAAGGGCCAGATGAGTGTCGATCTGAAGAACTGCAGACATGAAGAATTGACGAACCGTGGAAACAGGTCGACACGTTTCTAAGCCTACCAGTGCTGCAATTGATCAATTCTGCAATTCTTCGTTTCGTCAATTCTGCAATCTGCCTGACCTTCAATTCTGCATTTCTGCGACTTTTCACTTGCACTGTCACAAGATATGAACTCGTTCTGAGGATCCACTATTACTTACAAGGGAGGTCATTCAGGGCGTG